TACCGATGTCCCATCGCAGACCTCGCAGGCATCCTTACCCTATCATGCGCTATACTGACACTCCGCCAATCAGCTGTTCCGAACGTGTCTATCCTCATAGCCAATCGATCTTCCAAGCTACGCTATTGGTGTATTTTGCCCTATCAGTCATTGACACATCAAGCGACTTTGCTTGGCATATGTCCATACGTGTAGGCAATCAATTGGTGTATTGGCTTGCTTCGAAGCGGTGCTGTCCAGTTACGCCTTCGCGTACTTGTTTGCTTTTTGTGCTTATCTTTGCTTGGCTTTTGGATCGGTTTTCCGTGGTACCTACTGAAGTTCCTATTGCTTTCTTGTATAAGGAAACCGTTTGAGGTTTGTCACTTTTGGTATTTGTTGTTATTATTCAATAGCACCACAGTTGCACCGGCATTGAGTTTTTGACTTATCCCGGGGATTGCGAATCCGTTCCGGTCTGGAATTTCGATAACCGGTGGCTGCGCGTATCGCTCAAGGTTTCTAAGCGTTTTATCGCTTACAGTGCTCAAACGATTTGATTTGGTGAGCCCGGTTTTACCAACACTCGGATCTTGACTTCTGGATTGAATCAACGTTTGGATTCCGCTATGCCTTTGACGAGGAGATCGGCGAATATCCTGACTTCTGTTGAAGACCCGCGGCAAGTTGAACATGTTCCCATTGTTGATGATGCCTCTTCTACTTCTGGATCGCATCATAGTGTTTTAAGTAAATCCAGCAGAATTTCGCATAAGGCGTTAAGGGCTCTTAAGCTAGCGGAACTCAAGAAATTAAAGGCTGAAACTGAGATTGAGATAGCGAAACTGCAGCTAGATGGCGGGGAGGAGTTAGATGACGTTGAGCGACTCTCCCCTGCTAAATGTAAGCAGGTGAACCGATTCTTGGAGGATTGTGGAAATAGCGTGCCGATTGAAGAGATCCATAAGCCCTTTGCGAGCCAGTCACAAGTGCCTTGTCGACCATTTGTAGAACTTCCTAAGGTCGAGCTTGAAAGTTTTGATGGTAACCCGGCTACTTATTGGAAGTTTGTGAAACAGTTTGAGTACTTCGTCGAGGATAGAGTCAGTGACAGTGGTCAGCGTTTATTGTATTTGATTTATTATTGCAAGGGCAGGGCTAAAGAGGCTATCAGTGAGTGTGTTATGTTGCCCCCAGAACAGGCTTACGAGAGGGCTCGAAATATACTTCGTGAACTCTTCGGCCAGTCTCACATAGTAGCCCGGTCATTGATTGACAGCTTATTCTCCGGGTTAAGATTGTTACCTAACGACCAAGATGCGTTGTCTCGTTTGTCGCTAAAGATGGAGAATTGCTATGTTGCGCTGTCGCAGATGAACTTCACCGCAGATTTAAACTCTGTGACCACCATCGAGCGGCTGGTTCGTGCCCTGCCGGGCAGCTTGCAATCAAGGTGGGCAAGGGCAGCGGACGTAATCGTCCAAGAGGGTCGAGACGTTCTCTTCAGAGATCTCGCTGACTTTGTAGCTGCTGAAGCCCGAGTTGCCCGTAGCAGATTTGGGCAAATAGCCAACTCCAGCGCTTTGAGAAATCAAAGCACCGTGCGACCGTCCAGAGCGAAGGATAAAGAAATGGAGTACAATGTCTCCTTATATACTGTTGCTGATCAGTCCAGCCAAAATGTCTGTACAGTTTGTGACGATGTCCATAGGACGGAATCGTGCCCAAGGTTCCTGGCGTCCGAGGTTCCCGTTCGTTGGGAGCTCATCAGAACTAAGGGCGGATGCTATCGATGTCTCAATCTCGGTCACCGAGCTGTAGCTTGTCATGGGAGTAAAGGATGCGGGCGAGCCAATTGTAAGGGTAACCACCACACTCTGTTACACACAGATCGAAGGCCAAGACAAGGTTCAGGCGTATCGGACTCTCCGCCCAAGGACCCGGGCAGTTGCCACGCTGTCTCTGCTGATGCCGGGAAAATTGCTCTGGGAATTGTACCGGTGCGGCTAGAAGGACCTTTGTTTTCTGTTGAAACATACGCTTTACTTGACAGCGGCTCCGACGTAAGTCTGGTCCAGGACGATCTACTGCGAGAGGCTGGTGTTGAAATAAATCCGGTTTCGCTGAAGATGCAAACAGTGAGCGGTACTAGTTGTCTGGAATCCGGCGTCGCCAGTTTTCGTTTGCTGTCGTTGGACGGTAATGAGTCGATTGAAGTGCGACGTGCTTATTGCTTGAACCGTTTGCCCTTGCGTCCAGTCAAGGAATCTGTTAGTCAGGTAGCAGCTCGATGGCCACAGCTATCGACCGTTGATTTCCAAGAGCTGAAGGATTCCCGCGTTAGAATACTTTTGGGAGCTGATGTTCCAGAGGCACATTGGCAGATAGAACAACGACTCGGAGGTCGTGGTCAGCCCTTCGCGACAAGGACCCTACTTGGATGGATAATGTTGGGTCCTGTAGATGGGAGCCGCCAAGCTCACGTGTCCATAAATTATGTACGAGGGGATGAGTTATCGCTGGAAGAGAGATTAAGGCCTTCGTATGACGCTGGATTCGAAGATGTTGACTCGAACACCCGCGCACTCTCCGTTGAAGACAACGCCGCGTTGTCGATAGCGAAAACTTCCGTACGGCTTGTAGATGGGCATTTCGAAGTGGCCCTTCCTTGGAGAAACAAGAACGCGGTGGTTGCACACAATTACGAGTCTGCTCGGTACAGATTGCAGTGCTTAAGCAGACGATTGTTGAGTAATCCGGATCTCCGAGATCGATATGTGACAGCAATGAAGACGAATATCACGAAAGGTTATGCCCTTCCAGTGCCTCCTTACCAATTGCAGCCCCACTATTCTCCCATGTGGTATTTACCACACCACGCCGCTATCAATCCAAAGAAACCTGAAAAGCTTAGTGTGGTCTTTGATTGTGCCGCAAAATATAGAGGGGTTTCTCTAAACGACCAGTTGTTGCAAGGTCCCGATACCACTGCGAACTTGGTCAGTATACTGCTGCGCTTCGGGGCTGAGAGAGTAGCTATATCCGCTGACATTGAAGATATGTTCATGCAAGTGAAAGTGCCGAAAGCTGACAGGGGCGCGTTACGTTTTCTTTGGTGGAAAAATGACGATATCGGTTCAGAAGTGATGGAATATCAAATGACAGCGCATCCCTTTGGCGCGACTTCATCCCCTTTCTGCGCTAAATTTGCCTTGTGCCAAACCGCCGTTATGTGGGGACCTCACTACAATGCCAATGTGGCGGCGGTGGTCCGCCATAATTTTTATATCGATGACCTTTTAATTGCGTCGCCGTCGGTGTCTGAAGCCATACCTTTTGTAGCCCAAATCAGAGAGATGTTGAATAAGATCGGGTATGGCGCAGTCGCGTACGTCAGATTTCGCGCTGGCGATCTCACACTGTGTTCTTTACTCTATTCGAAGTCTAGAGTAGCGCCACTGAAAGCTATCTCTAAACCACGGCTGGAGTTGTCTGCGGCAGTTCTCGCTATCCGAGTGTTTGAGAGCGTTCGTGAAAGGGCCCAAATGAAATTCGAGCGATTTTGGTTTTGGATCGACTCCACCATAGTTTTATATTACATTAACAACACGTCTGGCAGGTTCAGCACTTTTGTGGCCAGTCGACTGTCGACCATTCACGCGTTTTCGACACCCTGTCAGTGGAGATCCGTTAATTCCGGATGTAATCCTGCTGATCCGTTATCGAGAGGCGCGTACTCCACGGTGCGATTGGATATTTGGTTTAGAGGACCGCGGTTCTTGGCGAGCGACGAAGATGAATCGCCTAATTTCGCTCCACTGGTCGAGCCTGATGAAGTTGAATTCAAGCGTTCGACTGTCCAAGTATTTGCCACTTCAAGCGAGACACCACTGTCCGCCTTGCTTCGCGAGTGCTCTGATTGGATTAAATTGTTAAGGTCAGTCGTGTGGCTTACACGATTCGTGAGGTATTTGAAGAATCGCGTATACGAAACCGATAATGACACACGGCGTACGGTGTTGATCACTCTTGATGAATTCAACAAGACAGAGGTTGACGTTATTAGGATGACGCAGAACGAAGTTTACGAAGCTGAGTTAAAACGGCTTGAAGATGCTAAAGAAGGAGCGTCGACTCTTAGAAGCATAGCGCGCCGGAGCGGTCTGATGCGACTTTGTCCCATACTATGTGGAGGGTTGCTGTGTCTGGGAGGACGAATGGCTTATTCGGAATATAAAAATTCCTTCAAGTTTCCTGCAATATTACCTCCCAAGCATCCAGTGACTGCATTGTTTTGGAAAAGATGGATTAGAGAATATTTGCCGGTGTTACAAGCTAGACAGAAATGGCTATATCCGCGCCGAGGTTTCAGGCCAGGAGACGTGGTTTTAGTCGCTTTTGAAGCTATCACGCGCAGTGTGTGGCCCCTAGGCATCGTAGACAGATGTGTGACCTCAGAAGATAGGCTCGTCAGAACAGTGCTGGTCAAGACGAAGGAGGGTTTAGTCAAGAAGGATGTGAGAAAAATTTGTTTGTTAGAGGGCAGCGGTTCGGAGGAGGGTGTAGTTCCGGCTGTTGACTCTCCGCAGGCGGGAGACGGGTTTTCGAGCCTGTCGCACCAGGGAGGACCGCTGTGAGTTCAACAGTCGAAGTGGGAGGCCTCTGGCGTACCGGTGTAAGTCCTTTGGCCTCCCAGCGTGGATGGAGCGGAAGGGATAGGCGATCCAGAGTAGAATGCATCGCGATCCTATGAAAATCCTGACCGGATTTTGGCGGGGAGTGTATCAGAGAGCTCAATTTGTCCAGTCGTTTGGAACTCTCACCACATTGTTTCTCTACAACTCCCTATTATGGACAGCCCATTTCCCTTTGAATGTGCCAGGACCCCGGCTGCTTGTTTTACCTACCCCTTGAACATTGATAAACCATTCGACCTTGTTCTTCTAACCCACATTTCGCTTTTGCACCCTTCATCATGTGATGTGCTAGTTACCGATGTCCCATCGCAGACCTCGCAGGCATCCTTACCCTATCATGCGCTATACTGACACTCCGCCAATCAGCTGTTCCGAACGTGTCTATCCTCATAGCCAATCGATCTTCCAAGCTACGCTATTGGTGTATTTTGCCCTATCAGTCATTGACACATCAAGCGACTTTGCTTGGCATATGTCCATAAGTGTAGGCAATCAATTG